ATTCCCGGAAGTTCCACGCAAGCTGTTGGTAAAGAGGGCGCTTGCCGACAAGAGCTTCAATTACTTACATAGTAGTAAGGTCGGCCTAACTTTTGCACGGGACGCTGCGGCCCGTTTCTGGTGTAGTGACATGGCAACGCGTAAGGCAGATGAGAGACAACCTCGCCCAACTCTCCAGGTGGCGAAAAGACACACGGAATAACCATAAGAACAGAAAAAATAACTTGACGTGCGTACGTACGGTATTAATTGGATAAAAAGCGACAACATCAATGAACAATTTTCTTTTCTTAGTGAGATATTTCTCCCCTTCTTCCAAATTCTTTGAGATAGCTCAGCTTACTCCGCCTACCCTGGCGCTCCGCAACTGAAAATAATGTTTTCAAAACATTTGCTTATTGTCACACGTTTATTTTAGTAGTGCACAAATAAAATAATGAACAACAAAACAAGTTACAATCTCTGAACAGTAAGTCGCAGTTTGGACGGCGTCTTACACGGCTGCGCGCAGCCATCTCTACCGTAGCCATTCCCTTCAAACCCCTATCGAGTACTGAAGCACGGCGTTCCGGGGTACAATCCCGAGTGACTTCTGTCATTCACCACCTGGCCCGCCTTGCTGTCGGCATCACCTCTCAACAGAACAGCTGCGTGGTAGAGTTCTGCGAACCCTGGCAATTTGTATATAAAGTACCGAGCAGGTTGATAGGTGAGGAAGTGCGTGCGACTGTCTATGTCATCAAATTCAAATGTCAAATTGCAGAAAAGCTCTTGATGTATTTTTAATTTTTACGGGTTGAGGCATAATTACCTTTTATTATAAGAAATGAAGAAAATAAAAATTAAAAAATACCTGAAGATTTGAAGACGTCCAGTGGAGAAGATATCGAAGATCGGGTGACAGACAGCTGCAAGAAAGATTACCATTACTTTAGAAAACAGTCACTATACATCAGAACATGGTCTTTGGTCTAGTACTGACGACATTTATGGGATTATTGGGTGGAAAAGTACCCTTGTCAAAGTAAAGAAAATAATTTTCATAAATCAGCCCGTGTATATGACACTGGGGATTATATGGAAGAAAGATGACTTATTCAAGCAATGTTATCGCGAGAATTGCCAAAGAAATAAATGGTTCAAAGAGAATGGGACATAGGAGAGAAACGAGAAAAAGAAAATCTTTGTTTTGCATGTAACACGAGAACTGGCGGGTGAAATTCTATCTTCCCAACCGTAAGACAAACTTGGACACCCTTCGGTCCGGGGGTGGGGCGCGTTGACCAATCGCTACAGTCAGAACTACAGTATATATATATA